TTCTTTCTGCTTTATGCCCATCTACACTTCCTTTCCAAATAGTTTAAGTAGAGATTATCCATCCTTGAATCTGATTTTCTTGTTCTATTGTAATTGTATAATCGGTATTTCATAGATTCATATGTGGTTCTTCCAATTGTATGTGCTCCTAGCCTCCTACGGTAAAAAAATTTTACTGGTTGAGATTTAATATTCTTTTTGTATTTTAATCCAACAGTACTTTATTTGCTTGTTTGGAATTCTTAATCCAACGGTGCTTTACTGTAAAAATTTTACTTTATTTGCTTGTTTGAAATTCTTAATCCAACAGTACACTTAAGCCTATTCAAAGTTATTTGCCATGATTTGTGGGTATTGTCATGTTTGCTTCAGCTTTCTGTACCAATTTGATCCCAAATTCGTAATTTTTAAAGAACTAAAAGTATTCAGATTTATCTATTGTACAAAATTCAAATAACGAAATAAAGAAACGCAAAATTAGGAAACAAAAAATGTTCTCCCTTGGTAAAGGAATTTTATGAAATTTGAAGTTCAATAATGTTCTGTTGTATGTAGATTTTCTTCTAATAATTTACATGTTCTTATCTCACTTTACTTGTAGGTAAGCTAAAACGTTACAATGGATGAAGAGGGCTCTAAAAATGCAAGGAAAATAGATGTTGCATGGAAATATTCAATCATGATCCCAGATGAGAAATACTTCCGATGCAAGTTCTGTACTCAACAAATTAGCGGCACAATTAACAGATTGAAGCAACATTTAGCAGGCACCCACAAAGGGATAAAGCCTTGTCCGAAGGTACCGGATGAAGTAGCTGAAGAATGCAAGAAAGCATTACTAAAGCTTCAAAATGTAAAAATCATGAGAAAGGCTACTTTGGAAGAAATGCGAGTTGTTGCAACAGGAAGTGGTAACATGAATGGTGAATCAGGTTCTTCTCCAACTATGAGCAATTTGCCTCCAAAGGCTAGAGGTCCGCTGGATGATTTTGTTAGTACTCAAGCAAGACAAGCTACTTTGAACTCCAAATGGAAAAAAGAGGAAAGAAAAGAAGTTTGTCAGCGAATTGGTAGGTTTTTCTTCTCAAGTGGTATACCATTTAATGTTGCAAATG